ACACACAAACAAACACATCACACAAATGACACAATTTAGAAAACTGGAAGCTTAATTGCCATATCTTATATTCTTATAGTCTTATCACCATCATCATATCTTATAGCCTTAACACCATCATCCCTTCCATCATTACTATCAAATTCCTCCCATTCTTACCATTGTGCAGGAGTATGGAAATACTCTAGTGATTTTCACTTGTCAGACTTGTTAGGGTTTAGAAAGTATATGTCTTCACACGTTTAATGCATGGGCCTTTTTATTAAATAAAATTTATTGGGGCTCATTTAAGTTTCAACCACAGCAAAAAGAAACAAGCAAAGAAACCCCCCTCAAAAATGCCTTGTCTTGCAAAAAAACCAAGCCTCAATACCTAATCTATGCGCCTCACATTAAGGTGTGCCTCAAAACCTGCCTCTTAAGTCTTAACCACCTTTTTATACAATGGCCGGTGCATATATTATTTTGGCATTAAGACAGTAGATGTTCTTTTATGTACTAGCATTGCCACGCGCTTTGCACGAGGGTCAATGCCCAATGGGGGAACTGTGTTGCGAAAATTAATCACCGAAAGAAGAAAGGAAATTCTTGTTGAGAAAGGTGTAGAAATCTGGAGAAATGAAAAATTTGCAAAGACGATGAGGCTTTATCCGGATAACAAACATCGCTTTAAAATGGGTTATTGGCACATTGCTATATTCATCCATCTTAGAAAATGGCAAAAATGGACGAAGATAGCAAACATCGATTTAAAAACTCATTGACAGAAAATGGATGGTCCTAAAGAAAGGCTAAAAATGTTTCAAACAGAAACATGCACATTCACTTATTACTCCTCATAGAACCATGGTTAGGCCTCATTACTATACACCCTCACAGAACGTAGCGAGACGAAGGACAGATAAAACCAGAATAAAGATGATCCTATTTGGAGGAATGAGAAAAAAAGTGCTCAAGAATTTTACAAAGAAGGACAAAAAACGAGGTTTTAAAGATAGTAAATACCTATCTAACTGAAATTTTATGAGGAACATTATATTTCCAATAAAAAAAATAAGAATTGAAAATCTTGTCTACTAATTATGAAGACTCTTTCTTTATTAATAATTATTTTAAATCGATCCCATATAATAATTTGATCCCTTTGTTTATTAGAATTTAATTGAAAACCAATTAAAATACTAACTGATACAAAACCAACAAGTTCATAATTCATGGAATCGAATAAGATCAGATAATCACATAAGACGGGAAACATGAGTTACATGTAGCCATGCACTCTCATTTCTCAAGAAGTGGAAGAAAAATTGATAGAAGGATATAAACTTGAGAAAAGTTCACAATCGGAAAGAGATATTGGTTCGAAAGTCGAGAAGCCACACAGATTGAATATTTGAATTGAAAATTATACAAATCTAGTAACTAAGACAATCATGTTAACTCAAAGCCACATAGTCGTAAAAGAGTTTTAGAACCCCAACCAACCATATAAAAATGCAATTTTAAAGATACTAAACGCCTGTAAAACAATCGAGCATAATTGTAAAAAAATGTAGTCAAATTTTGACCTAAAAGATGAAATTCTAAAAAGTACTAATAACGAAAGTTTTTTTGACCGGAACGAAGTTATATTTGCAAGAGCAAATGAGTTTGGCAAAATAAAAACACTATTAGCAGGTCAAATTAGACAACAAAGAATATGATCCGACTAAATTTAAAACTATAAAATTGAACTTCAAACATGTATTCGCGAGTTAGGTCCAATTGATGTTTTGCTTTGTAATTTCCACCTCAAAGCCAATGGCTATGTCCTTTCCCAACTCACCAGCCATCCTTCGTTAGCTATCATTTCCATAATCTACATGTTGAAAAAATCCAGAGACAAAAACTACTTGTTACATAAACTATACAACTTTTATACGTTATACTTCACTTATTTAATACTGTTTCTAAGTTTGATCTAATGCATTTAAATCTTTTCTACCTTTTAAGATGAAAGACATGGTCAATGATCACAATTTTGCAACCAATTTTGTAGGAAATCCAATACTATTTTATTAACATATCCTGGGTTTAAGTACTAACCAAGATACCTACACAGGAAATACTAACCAACAAGCAGAATCTGTGGTAGAGGATGAAAATCCATACACTTGACTGATGAACCTTGGTTTAAAGTCATAATGACAACTTTTGGCAAATCATCACATGAACATGAACTTTGACCATGACCCGGACTGGCAAGGAGAGGAAAATGATGATCAGGAAACGTGGAAATTCATATTAAGTAATTTTATGCATTCTGCATTACAAGATTGAGGAAAAATAAAAGAGCAATCAAATTGAAGATTGAGGAGACTGAAATGGCTGTTTCATATTCTCAACTTAGGTTGATTGGTTAATGACTTTTGTTTTATTTCAATACCTGCATTATCTGTTTTGAAGGTGTGCTTTGCTTGGATTTCTTCCCTTTTTCAAGGTAGTATGCATTTAATCCCTATCATAAATAGGAGTACTAAGCAAATCAATCAGCCATGTTACTCTCCTGAATCTTTTACGTGATTCCTTTTAAATTCTTTTCATAGTCTTATAATGTAGCATTTATCTTTTTTTCTTATAAAATTATATCGTAAAAACCTACTCATCTTCGATTTGCGGCTTCTCAATCTGTGAAATGTCATAATACCGCAATGCATCTTCCAAAAAATTCATTTTCAAATCTAATATCCTAGCATAACAGACCAGGAAAAATGACAAGATATTTAGCACATTTATTATACTGATGGAAAAAACCAAAATGAATAAGAAATTGTTTAGACAGAGACTACCAGGTAAGTGATAACAACTACATGGTCTTCAATATCATCTTCCTTCTCAAGAGCAACCTGCCGCATGTCATGTTATGACGTTGAAGCATTTATTACATTGTCTGTATTAAGGGCGAAGTGGTGAACATGGTTTATGTCCAACCTCAATTTTGGTCAAGGAATTGCAACCGAAACTTAGCTACTCAAAAAGAATACACAGAGGCCCAACTTAATCATTGTAATATATAAAACGAATACAGATGAGTACATTTTCTTTTTGGGAAATGCGCAACTTAGAGGCGTTAAATGACACATAGCAAGGACATTTCTATTTGAACATCAATTCACAACCCGTGGAGAGCTACTAAAAAGAAATATAGTGGAGAGGTTAAGTTTGCACAAAATATAGGCATTAAACGACACATAGCAAGAACATTTCCGCCTGTGCGAGCGAACTGGACTGCTTAGAGATATTATGCAACGTTTGACTCCGCGGTGGCCACCCATTATACACAGGTCATATATTACTGCCTCGGTTACTGCCATAGGGCCTCGAAGGCCGTACGAATAGCGGCCAGAGGGAGGCGGACGTTAGGGTAGGTCCCAATTAACCAAAGAGTAACAAAAATTAGAGGATAGAACCTGGATTTCATCTTGCGAGAAGGAAACCCTAGAAAGCCTTTGAAACTTTGGAACACTTTTCTCGTAATATGGGTCGCCTAACCAATAAGGTTTGTCGGGAAAGTTAGGGGCGCCTATGTCCGAGAAAGGTAGAGTCTCTGACCACGAAGAAACCCATCTGCACGCAGGCGTAGGGTGAATTAAGAGAGCAGGTACAACGTCTGACCAAGAAGGACGAAGCAACGGAAGACGAAGCAACGGAAGGGGATAATAGCCCTGGCCCTTTTGTAGCAGGAGAGAAGTTAACGACGACGAACAACGTAGGTACTGTAGTAACGTATAATTGTCCGACTTAACTGTCTTAGGCAAATTATATATAAGGAGATGCAATAATATGGTTTTTAGAACTTCCGTGGGCCAAGGCATAGACATAACTATTAACTATGCTTTCTATCCCTTTGTTTCATGCATGTATTTGGGAGCAGTTGTTGAAAATTAAATTTCATACAGAGATTTTCATTCAGGTACGTATTCTTAACAATGACAAATAAACTATCAAGTTTTAGGGGCCACTTTGACGAAATTATGCTATTAATAAAATGACTTTTGTATTCAGTTTTAGAGACTAACACTCTATGTCCTAGTAAAGCTTACTAAAACAGAATATATATTTATTTTTAAAGATTTTTTTCATACAATAGCAATAACATTCAAGCCTTAACCCCAAAAGTGTTTGGGTCAGCTAACATGAATCGACCTATGATAAGGAAAAAAAATTTGCGGTTCATATTACTTCTCCCACCATTACCTTTTATTACATGGAGGGAGCAACTCTTTAACATCACTAAGCACCAGTTTACAAAAGCAAGAATTCCAACATCAGTGAAAATTGCACGCGTGCTTCTGTGCATATATCATTTTGGCATGTAGACAATGAATGTTCTATTATTTACATAATAACTAGAATCTCACTTGTGCGATGCATGGATAAGTAATTTAAAAATGAGTATAGTTAACAAAGTTTTAAGCTACCTTTTGAAAATTTAACCAAGTGAATACAACCATGTTCAATTTAAAAACCGTTTGATCATATCAAAATCGGCAGAATCGGCTAATTCTAATGAAATTTATGAAATTATGACTGAAGTGGCTGCATTAATATGAAAAAACTAAATTTGAAATATATTTATTAATAAAATTAATAAAAAATTATATGTAAAATAGCTAAAATAGTCCTCTATTTTACAGCCAACAAAGCCATAAAAGTATATGTAAAAATAGCTAAAATTATCCTTTTAAACAATTCAACCTATAGATGACTTAATTACATGTTGAGTTCCCAATAAATAAGAAACTTTTAAATTTAAATAAAAAATTGTGAATATAATACTACGTAGGCATGAATTCGGGCCGGGTCGGGCCAAAGCCGGACTTAGGCCCGATCGGGCTTCCGTTTTGTGAATGGTGGGCCCGGGACCGGCCCGAGGTACAAGCGGTTTAATGCCCTTGTCTACCTTCGGCCGTTTAATGCCCTTGTGTACCTTCACGGTGAATAAAAAGGTGACCAGTCTTTGCCCAAAAAAAAAAACCAGACCAATCTTTTTATTAGCCCATATATAAGCCCAATCCATCCCAAAAACCTAACCACACCCTTTACATCATATATAATCTTCCTTTCCTTCGGCCGTTGGCATTCGTCCGTACACCGCAGAGAACCACCGCATAACTTCGCGAAGCATAGGTCGGTTTAATGCCCTTGTCTACCTTCCGACCTGATTCCTCCTCAAAGCCGTTGTTATTGTCCATATTATTGACTCCTTATCCAACAATTCCGATGGTGGAATCATGTCGTTAAAGCTATCTGTTAAGGGAACGGTTCAGAAAATGCCTTACCATCCTCTCGTAACTTAGGTATACCCATCATCATTGTCTTTGATTTTTAGTTTAAGCATACCTATCACTTCTCAGTTTGTATGTGTTCGGATTTGCCATTTTCCGTTATTGCCACATTTAGTGTCTATTAGTATCCGATATTGCCATTTTCCAAGCATCACATTTCGTCATTTTGGTATATCCTATACTGTAAGTATGGCTTTATTAGATTTTGTATACATGCAGTTAATAAGTTGATTTTAATTGTCGGCATGGCAGTTGTAGTAGATCTGTATATTTTCAGTATTGCTTTTAGCAATTTGTTGAGATCTATAATTTGGGTACACATTTATCTAAAAATAGAGAACATTTTTACCTCTATAATATACTTTGACTAAACCAATTACATTTGGGGTAGGTAAATAAATTCAGCTATGTATATGACATTACCATACTAATCTCTTAAACCAATGAGATGACCAGTACCTTAATATCATACATACAATCCGCCATGTACTACTTTTTTAAAAAAGGCGTGGATTGTTCCTTTAAGTTGTAGGTCGTTTTGAATCTATATATTTAGTTTCATCTGCATGTAATGCCTCATATGATAAAAAGGGCATTGACTTTTTGAGTTCATTACCAAACACATATTGATAAAAAATTATATCAAACTGATTTGATCCTGTGATCACTTTTAAATAGATTCAAATCTGTAAAACAACTTTAAATATTCAAATTAACAACATTTTATAGAGTGGCAGAAAAAATTGGGAGATATTTAGTTTGAACATTGAACTGATTACCTATACTTCAAGTAATGAACGGTATAACTTTCTTATTTAAAAATCTTGCATCTATTTTATTTGGGGTAGGGTTTATTATATATCTGGGGATGAGTTTGTAGCTCATTATAATGTAACTCGTGTTTAACATTAAAGGAATGTTGAGCTCTACATCTGGGGATGAGTTTGTTGCTTTCTAGACTCTTGCCTGTATGCTCTTTATTTGTTTCATCATGCTCAAGTGATATACTCCCTCCGTCCACCTACAATTGTCCCATTTTTTCATTTTTGGATGCCCCTATTATTGTCTTATACCATATTTGGTAACATTTGTGTGGCTCTAATTCATTCTTACTTTATCAACTCATTATCAACCACATAATTCTATTTTTCTTAAAAACCACACCACTCCCTTCCGTCCCAATATCAGGGGGATGGAGGGAGTATTTGTTTGTGTTGGTTTACATTTCTGAGCTGCATCATACCAAGTATGTAAGACTGCACTTCTGAAAAAAACACAACAAATTGGAATTCCAAATACCAACCCAGGCTACAAAGACACCGATCCAGACATTCAAGTTCTAAGTTTGAAACACCAAATTCACAATTTTAGGCAGTCTGAATTATATAGTTTTAAAAACAAATAACAAAAGAGATTTTTTTTTCATTTGCCCATATTTGTTCCTACAGCATTTTGTATTACTATTGTTTGATCATAATTTTTATTAGCTTGTACTTTAAAGATCACAACAACAATTGTTTGTTAAGCAATAACACACAGGGCCGTAATTTATTTAATGCTTGGGAAAAGTTTTGAAAAGATGGACAGCTTCAAATTGAACTCAACTGTATTTGCATGTGTGAGAACTGAGAACAAGAGAGTGCCAAATCTTTTCATTTAATGCTTCGAAAAGTTTTGATAAGACAAAAAACTGCTTTAGTCACAAACATTCAATGCAGCACTCGATTTGTTACTTTAGCCCATTTTTGACCCGATTTGACTATGACCCGTTTTTTACCCAGTGGAATTGGGCGGGAAAACTGCCCCTTTTTGTACTCTGGTTTGTATATAGAAAGATATGGTTTTTAGAATTTCTCTGGGAAATAGCCATGAGTATTCACTACGGTTTCTATCCTTAACTTTGTTTGTTATGCAAATTTTGGGAAATAGTTGCTGAAAATTAATTTCGTACGGACTTTCATTCAGGTACATATTCTGAGCAATGACAGACAATATATCAAGTTTTTGGGGCCCTGTGACTTCTAAAGAATGGTGTGAACCGAACTATGTCTACTCATCTTATATTGCAGAGTTTTTCAATACCGTCTCAAATACCCCATGCATTATCTTGGCTCTCATTGGCCTTGTGAATGCCTTACGTCAGCGATTTGAAAAAAGGTTTAGCGTCCTCCACATATCAAACATGATTCTTTCCATAGGAAGCATGGTTTATCATGCATCGTTGCAACGAATGTAAGAGCTTCTCCATTTTTGTGTCTTACATTGAGTTTCTGCCTGCGTTTTGGACTTTGGTGATTTTTCTGACTTCTGATTATCAATTATCATTAATCTTAACAGTTTTTCAAACATGATGCAAAATCTTATTGCATTTTTTCAGGGGAATTTTGCATAAACTGTGATTTTGATTTTATAAGGAGTTCTTTTCCTTGGAATATTTCAACTTCTTGATGACAATATCTTGCATAAATGGGAATTGAGTGATTGTACTGTTTAATTTTTTATAACTTCATACCTGAAATATTTGACGTGGTTAGACATGACAATTGACAAGATTCCTTTTTAAATGCTGACAAAACTAGAATGGTTGCCAATTTGCCATGGAGACATTTAGAGTGGAACTGTGTTTAATGATCTTGTTATAGTTGAAGATCTTCATATTTCACAGGCAACAACAAGGTGATGAGACACCAATGGTGTGGGAAATGCTTCTTTATGTGTACATTCTCTATTCACCAGATTGGCACTACAGGAGCACTATGCCTACCTTTTTGTTCCTATATGGTGCAGCATTTGCCATTGTACATTCACAGGTTTGCTTTGCGATTGTCTTCAAGGTGCACTATGCATTACTCTGCTTTCTTTGCATTCCTCGGGCTTACAAATATTACATTCACACAAAAGACACGTCAGCTAAGCGTCTCGCCAAACTGTATGTGGCCACTTTACTGGTTGGGACCGCATGCTTTTTATTAGATGGCATGTTTTGCAAGGATATCTCGACATGGCCCTTCAATCCACAGGGGCATGCAATGTGGCACGTGATGGTGGGGTTTAACTCATATTTTGCCAACACATTTCTGATGTATTGCCGTGCTCAGCAACGGGGATGGGATCCAATAGTCAAATACTTGTTGGGTTTACTCCCCTATGTGAAGATTCAAAAGCCAAAGAATCAATAGTTCAATTGCCATCAAGAACACAAACTTAGAATGATATATAATTATATAGCCATAGTTGTTTTTGACATCAGTGTGATGTAAATGAAATTCAGAAAATAGCAGTCTTAAAACATTCTTCTGATCTTTTTTCATCTAGTAACTTAAAATCATGTCTAGTTTTCATCTCGTAATTATCAGTTCTTTCAATTCATTTTGGCTTAAAACATTCTTCTGATCTTTTTTCATCTAGACTTTTATGAAATACTCAAAATTTGATCAAAGTAAATTTACACAGTTTGGATTTTTGATTAAAGGTTTTTGTATGTTAGTTTATGTAAAAATAGCTAGATATTACTGACTATTTTAAATATCCTTGAGAAGATCTAAATATTAGTAACACACAGTTTCCAATTTTTTAAATTATTAAATATAGGATCTTATTTTTGCTGAATGCAGGCAAGGTTGGGAAGATTCGTTAACGATTGGATTCTAGCTTGTTAATCGAACTTAGGGATGGACTTGGCCGGACCGAACCGGCCTGGAACTGAACCGGCCTGCTACTGTGCGGGCTCGGACCGGACCGGGACCGGTTGGCCAGTTCTGGGCTTTTAGCCCGTTTGGGCGGGTTGGGCAGGCCGGACTCGGGCCCAGTTTTGGGTGAACCAGCCCGGGCGGTTCGCGCCGGGCCCGTTTTTTTTTTTGTTTTTTCATTTTTTTTTCTTTTCCTAGGTTAGGGCTGGGTGTTTTGGGGAGGTTTGGGGGGTGGGGGTGAGGGGGGGGGGTGGGGTCGGGGTATAACAAGAAAGCAAAAAAAATAGACATTGATCTAGGCCCAGCCCGGTTAGGCCCGGACCCGGTATTAACGGGCCGGTTTCGGGCCCATGGATTTGCAAAAAAAGCCCGCCCGGGCCTGGCCCAGAACCGGAATCGGACCGGCCCGGGTCCATCCCTAATTGAACTCGATTAAAAAGTGGACAAACTTTTGGTTTGAATATGAAAAACATTTAGCTTTATATTTCATACTAGGGATGGATTAAATCGGGTCGGCCTGGCCCGACCCGGTTAGACTCGGACCCGGTATCAATTTGGGCCGGTTCCGGGCCCAAGGATATGCATAAAAAGCCCGCCCGGGCCTGGCCCGGAACCGGAACCGGCCCGGCCCGGGTCCCTATTTCATACGGAGTATAATAGTTTAACACCACACTCAAATGACTCTATCACCCATTTACCTAGGCTTGGACTCGGTTCGGGCCACCTGACCCGGGAACCAGCCTGGCCCGCTACTGTGCGGGACCGACCCGGCCCGGTTCTTCTGGCCCAAAATCGGTCTAAGGCCCGGTTATTTATCTAAAGCGGGGCGGGCTCGGGTGGGTAAATTGCCCGGTCCCGGCCGAGCCAAATTGATTTTTTTTTTGTTTTTCATTTTTTGGGCTCCACCCGGGTTGGGCTTGATGTTTAGGAGGTGTTTGGGGGGTGGGGGGGTGAGGGGGGTCAGGGATAGGTAGGTAAGCAAAAAAAAAAGTAACCAAAACCGAGGCCTGGACTGGACCCGGTGGCTACCCGGCCCGGTCTCGGGCCCACCTATCCACAACCGCTGGCTTGCTCGGGCCTAGGCCCGACTCAGACCCGACCCGGCCCGAGTCCACCTCTACATTATTTACCCACCACTGATCACATTGATAAAGTTGAATTGTACTTGAGTGGTGGTGGTGTAGACATATTTTGTATACGTTTTGTATACATTTTTAGTTGTATGTCCACAAAGCAATTCCTGAACAAATTGGCTATGTAGGTAGGGCGGTGTACACAAAATGCGTACAAAGTGCATGTACCACTAGCTTTTTCTAAGACTAACAAAATGTTTATCTGCCACGAATCTACTCCCTCCATCTCCATATAAAGATCTAGCATTGAAGTTTGAAGTGCACACATGTTAAGGAAATAATTTTTTGTATTTGACTTTTTGAAATACCACTTTTACTTGGGGCTAAATTTTGAAGTTGTTTTGACACTGTTTTGCAGTGTTTAACATTATTTTGCATTATGTATAACTGCTTTCCAATGTACTACCTATTGGAGTAAATTGATATAGATTGTTTAACAAATGGGGAAATTGAACTTTATATAAGGACATTTATAAAAAAGACCCGCACGGGTAGCTCAGTTGATTCAGTGTTGAGAAATTTGAAATATTGACGAATTTTTGAAACCTGTAGCGACCGTGTGGAGGTTACAGCTCCTGCGTGCTGGGCTGGACCTCTGTTGCGCACGGGTAAAAGGTCTACCATCATTGGACGACTGAGTCACCGTGACTTACATCCTCCCAAAGATCCTATCTGATCGGGATGTGAGGGACCCTTGGGATTGGGAATAACCTTTTGAAACATTTATAAAAAAAAGTGAGAAGTCTATTCAAGGACAAAAGGGGTATATTTCATATACCATACTTAAGATTAACACAAGAAAATTGTTTCATTTTTCTAAGATTAAAAAGGCTTTATCCATTGAAAATATACTACCTCAGGTCCTAAAAGTTCACACTTTTTTTCTTTCGACGGATTCAAATTAAAGTGATGACTTCCATTTTAGCAAGTTTTACTATAAAGTTACTTTTATATTACTCCGTATTACTTTATTTATTTACCTTACACCCACGGACACCTGATTTACTTTAGCAAGGTGCGTTTTGTTTTTCTAATGTAAGGTCACAATTAACTCACTTATAGGTTATTAATTAATGCACTTGAGGTATTTTCAGAAGAAAAAATGCTCTTAAGGCGCAAATTATACCATGCAACCGGCGCACCATGAGGATGGTGCGCCCGGTTGCAAAACGACGCAGCTTGCCTTCTTCTTTTTTTTTGCTTTTGTTGTTAAAAAATGATAATAACTTTTTTATTTTTGATCCGATTTTTATAAAATTTATATCAACATTTTTTATTTTTCATGATCTTTCAAATGAGACCAATATTGCTTATGTAATTTTAAGAAATTATCGAACTATTATATTAATGAGTATTGGATTATAAGGAAAATCGAATCTGTTTGGGAGATGATAGGTTTGTGAAATAGAAGATCGAATCTGTTTGGGAGTGGATCAGTGACCTCAGTTACATTTGATAATACATTGAGTTACATCTTTTTATGAGCGAGTTACATCTTTTTATAAGCAAGTTACATCTTTTTATAAACAAGTTACATCTTTTTAAAAGCAAGTTACATCTTTTTAAAAGCGAGTTACATATATATAAACATGAGTTGCATTTGACATGCATGAACGTGACTTACATATACTTACACGTAAAGTTACATATTTTTACACGTTAAGTTACATATTTATACACATGAGTTACATATTTATACACACGAGTTGCATTTGACCTATCTGAACGCAAGTTACATATTTTTTTACGTAAAGTTACATATTGTTACACGTAGAGATACATATTTATACACACGAGTTGCATTTTACTTGACTGAACGTGGGTTACATATTTTAACACTTAAAGTTACATATTTTACACACAAATGTTAATATGTTAAAATTACATAGGCAATATTGGTCTCATTTGAAAGATCATGAAAAATAAAAAATGTTGATATAAATTTTATAAAAATCAGATCAAAAATAAAAAAGTTATAACCATTCTTTAAAAACAAAAGGAAAAAATAAAAACCGTCCCACGGTATACGCACTCCTCTTAAGGTAACATGTTATTGATAACTGACTGATAAGTACAGTAGTACACTAATAAAGGCACAATGATAATTCAAAATGTTGATTGTAAAATGTAACCATATGACCTCGCTCCACTTAAGCAGCCGCGGCCATAGGTTGTTATTGCTTCTTATAAACCATGCTAAATGCAACAAATCAAAACATACTTTCCTCGGAAATATATCTCCTGACGTGGTTTAATTGCGGTTAAGTGAATATTGCACTACTTTGCCCTCATTCAACTTAAAATCACCTCATCCTTCTTTCTCGGGAAAGATTTTCAGTTTATAATTATTCACCCTTCTTCGAACAAATCTCAGCCACACGAATTCACTTCATTAAAACCATGAAGACAAGAGTTTTAACAAGGTTATTTGTATATAAAGCATTAGCTTAGTAAAGAGGAACACTTGAAAAAAATTGCTTTATAAAGCACTGTAAGTCACGGAACAATGGAACCTCTTCATTATCCGGGAATAATTTTCCATTTTTTTTAACTTTTCAACTACAAAATATACACTTGATGAATAGCATCCAGGAATTCACAATTTCACGGTGCTTATTTATTTCTTTACTATTGCTAATGTCTGATGAGTTCTCAATTTCCTAGCTCATTATGAGGTTACCCATCAAAATCTATAAGCTAGAGTTCGATCAAGCTTTCTAACTCCTTCCACGGTATCCTAAGCCTTAGACATGAATGGAGATTTCTGCTGATAGAGTATATCTAGAGAGAAGTGAGAGCTAGAGAGAGAAGTGCAATGATATGCTTCAATAGAATGATTTCGTAACCCCTATAACTACTCCCAAGGGGAGTATTTATAGAGAAAATTAGGGTTGGGCTCCCAAGCCTTGGGCTTGGGAGGCCCATTTACAACTGGACCGCTACTGGGCCGAATACAAAGCCTCTAATGGGCTGTACAAATGAGTAAGTATAGAATCCGATTCTGGGAGGTCTTCGTGGCCGACGAGGGCGTGGCCGACGAGGGCACGGCCGACGAGGGCACCCGGGTTCCTTGGACTCAGGACCATGATCCGAGTTGGCTTCTTCTCGGCCGACGGGGGTGTCTTGGCCGACGAGGGTGCCACTCTGTTGTCTTGTGCTTTCTGTTCTTCCGAGTATGTGGGTCCTGGGGCTCAGACCCATATACTCCATCAGGAGTCCCCCACTCTCTAAGCTGAGATGTAGACGAAGTGAAGGAGAGTAGATTTCTGTGCTTTGTTGCTTTTGGCCGACGCGGGCATTTCCAGGCCGTTAGCCGTTGCGGTGTTGGCGTTGTTTCCTCTTTGGTGATCCTGTTCTGTGCTTTGGCCGTTACCTGTTCCTCGCTGTGGGCGGGGAGGCCGTTGTTTCCTTAATTTGCTTTGGGACGATGAGTGTCCTTCCTTCAATGGTGGCCGTTGAAGGCGCGCTTTCCCTTTCCTGGCCGTTGATGGTTGAAGTTTATGTTTGGGCCGGTGAAGCCGTTGAGGTTGTTCCTTGCTTTGAGGACGATGGCCTCATTTCCTTTGTGTGGCCGTTGCTGGTTGGCCTTCGTGTTTTTTGGCCGAAGAGCCCCTCGT